CTCATGTTTTCTGAAGTGGAGATATTCCAATGTCTGTAATAAATCAAATTTTGAAGCATATAAATATGTGTCCTTTTTCATTCTTGAATCATTTTTTTACTATGGCCATTTTGGGGTGGGATATTCCTTAAGAAGTAAAGCCTGAGACCAAGATTTAGCTCAGTGGAACTGTACCTGCCTTGCAAGTGCAAGATCATGAGTTCAATCACTGAAACCAGAGAGAGAGAGAGAGAGAGAGAGAGAGAGAGAGACAGAGAGAGAGAGAGAGAGAGATGCTCATAGAACATGACTTCAGGTGAATTGGCTCTCTTCCCACAGCACACCAATCTACTACAGGAGGACGATTCTTACAGCAGCACCTGAGTCTCCTGGAGCCTTTCTCTAGTTGTTGATCAAGTACTGGGCATGAGAACAACGTCCCCCATAGCAGACTTCACTCAAGGAGAGAAGTGGGTGAGCAAATATTCTTGATCACCGTTCCTAGGTAGTGTGTCCTTCAGGTTTCTGGAGCTCCTCAGTGGGATCAGACCCCACCAGCCTCCATGGGTCTTGCTGTCATGATATCATATGCACTCCCTTCCCTCTCTGACCTGGATCATTTTCCCAGTCCCCTTTAGGGCTCCCTGGGATCACTTCCCACAAGAATTACTTGTTTCCAAATTCCTATGTGTGGTTAATCCAGAGGACACCCAGTCTAGGACGTGGTCACTACTAATCTCAATTCTGGTAATGTTCAAAGACTTTTCATACAATATGCATTGTCTCCATGGTATCAGGGTTAATGTGGGATTGTTGTCCACTGATCTGGTAAATCTTCTACTTTATTTTCTAATATTTGCTCAGCTGTTTTAGGGAAGTTATCTTGGTCAGCTGTTTCACATCTCAGGACCTCGGGACAGGATACCATACCCTGTCAGCCACTCAAGTCCTAAAGGATGCTGTATTTAATGATTACCACTCTGTGTTGAAGGGGTTGTGACCTGAGACACACATGGTAAGTTGGAGTCAGTAAAATCAGATACAGAAAAGAAATTTTTGTAGGAAAGATAATGAAGAAATGCTCTCTGGAAGACACCGCAGAAGCAAGTTAGAATAGCAAAGAAAACATGTAATCTGAGTGAATTCTACCTTATCTGACCTCACAGGGAGTCTGAATTGTGATGGGACCTCAGATTTCTATCTTCTACAGGGAAGGTGGCTTAACATTTGCACTGCTAAGCAGTTATCATGAGCTGTAGGAGCAAAAAGTACGGTAGGTGTGAGCAGAGGGTACACTAGGGCAGGCAGAGAGGGTACAAGGCAGAAGGACAACTTACACTTAGGACACATTGCTCTACAGAGAGAGACACCTATGCTTTAGGACAATAAATGGGGAACATGGCAGCTGCTGAAAAGTGTGAGCCACCTGACCTGTGCTCTCTGACTATATTGAGGATTGGAGACTTCGAGGATAAAGGGAATCTGGTTAGGTATTGTATGACCAACCTCATCTTCCTATTTCTATTGCCAGTAGTGAGTAGTGAGAAATAGGGCTTTACTGTGACTATACCTGACCGTGTGGTTTACAAGCCTTTGGAACTGTTTTGGGGAATAAGTTTACAACAAGTTTGGAGGATTGGGTTGGAGAAGCTTAGAACGTTTTAAGCAGAGCTTGGTGGGCAATTTTGGGTGAGCTCAGAAGAGAGACTGCTGATAGGAATATGAGCAGTAGAGGCTGTGCTCATGAGGTTTCTGATGGAAGCAAAGGCAGTAGTGGGAACTGACCCAGAGGCCATTCCTGTTCATTTTGGCAAAGAAGCTGTCTATATTTTGTCCATGTCCTGTAACTTTAGGTGTGGCTGAGATGTGCTAATTCATCTGGCCAAGGAAATTTCAAGGCAGCCCAAAGTTATCACTGTAGCATGGGTACTGTTGTCTGCTTTTAGCCAGATTTACAGCGAGAGTCAAAAAAAAGAAGAGGTGGAGGATTTGAAAATTTTCCACTTGTCCAGAAAAGAAAAGCAGTAATATTGGGCCAAGAAGGTGTGGTTGTTGAAGAGATGAGTGTCACCAAAGGAAGTGATGTAAGTTGCATCAGGATCCTAGGAAAGATGCCTCGAGGGCATCTCAGGAAATTGTCAGAGCCTATTCATCTCAGCCTCAAAGTTGAACATGAGCTGTTGTGGGAAAGACTTTTCTTTGGGAACAGAACTGCCGAGTGCACTGTTCACTCAGGATAATCTAGGGAAAGATTCCCTCAGTAGAGATATCCATGTCTCTTCCACCATCATTTATTTTACTGCCTTCAAACCACCTGACAATATAGTGAAATTTATGCAACCATGCACCAAAATAAACCCTCATTCCTTTAAGCAGTGGGTATCAGGTCTTTTCTCCAAGAAATGAAAATCTAACTATGTACACTATAGAAAGGCATTAAGGCTTTGCTTACCTAAAAGAATCTGATATTTAAGGAGACTAAAAAATGCCTAAGATCAAAAGAAATAACTGGGTAATGTTTTCAAGGGAGGTGACTTACTAGGAGATTTGTGTTGGCCTCTTGCTGCAGGGTCAGATATTTAACACAGGATGTCCTGCTGTTCTCTAGGCTGAATTTTATACATAGAACCAATGAGGCAGTGTTATAGTTGGGGTCTGGATGTCCCCTCCCTTACAATTATCATCATGAAAAACTGGAAACAACTGGGGTGCCTTAGAGGATGCCAATCTCAGCCACTACATAATAAAGACCAAAGGAAGAAAAATACCAAAATCACATGCTGAGATTCTACTTATATAAAACTCAAAAATTGCATAAAACTAAACTTTCTTTAGAAATGCTTGTGTATGTGGCTAAAGTGTGAAGAAAAGCAATGAAAAGGCTTCTTAAAGTCAGGGTAGTGATTCTCTATGGTGTATGAGGAGAGACAGAGTCAAGAGAGGACACACAGAAGTCCTGGGGTGACAGCACATTCCCCTTCTGGACCCAAGCTTTGGGTGCCTGGGGCCTTGCTCTCTAAATATTCATGGGATTACTCTGTGTCTTTTACATGCTTTTCTGTATATGCGTATTCTTCATACTAACAAAGGATTTTTTAAAAATTCACATGAATTGAAATATTTTCTTAAATCCTAAAAAAGATGTTTAGGAGGATGATGAAAAACAACTTTTCAAAAAGATGATGTCTACATATCAGTAATGACAGGTTGAGCATTCTCTTGCCATACTTTAAATATTTCTCTGATCACATATATCACATTATGCCAAGACTGGTAATGCTGTTCAACATGGACTTGAAAAGTTGGGTGTGGCGGTGCATGCCTGTAACTTCAGCTCAGCAATCTGGGAGACGGTGGCAAGAGCATCATAAGTTCAAGATCAGCCTGGGCAAGTTAGCAAGACCCTATCTCAAAAGAAAAAATTAAAACAGGGCTGGGGATTTGGCTAAATATGAGGTCCATGGGCTCATTCTAGGTATAACTACACACACAAATATACACAAATACACACAATATCTATATGTAGATATATATATCAGTTATGGCTAGGGTAGCTGTCTTTCTTTAGATTATGATACTACTACAATATCAAGATTCCCCAAATAATAGTACACTTTAATTACAGATACAACACATACCAAGTTTCATTTAAAAATAGGATTGTGGGCTGGTGACTTAGCTCAGTGCTTCTGCTGCCTGCCTTGCCAGCATAAGGTCCCTAGTTCAATGCCCAGTACCAAAAAATAAAAAGGATTGTGCAGTAACATAAGTGGTACATGAAGTGAAAGGCTTTTTCACTTCAACACCCTTTCAGAAAGAAATGTAACAAAGCTGTTCTCCAACTGCTACTCTGTAACAGACGGGCAGCTTAGGAAGACTTTAGACCGTTTCTGAGTCCTCTCCGGATGACAATCGCCAATTCTGCTCCTCGGAGCTTTGGGTAGTGATTAGGAAAAGTATGTAAAATGAGGTCTGTCCTGGAGTAGAGATCGCTCTTTAAAATAATCCAGTGTGTTATGGCTCAGAACTTCCCACTTAGCCAGAACGTAGGACACAGTGTGGCCAGGCAGCTTCCCGTGTTAGAAGTCACACTCACCTGGTGATTTGGAGCCCACTTGTACCCCTTTCCGCTTACTCCGTTCTCACTACCAGTAAGTGTAAACTGGTTTATTGGATCTGCATCTCTCTTTTGTATCTTTATTTATTTATTTTTTGGTGTATTTATGTGTCATACCCCACTCCCCAAAAAAGGAATCTTAAAGTGCAAATCTGGTCAACAACTGGATTCATGATGAGAGAGAGAGACAGAGAGAGAGAGAGAGAGACCTCTTCAAGAGCCCAGCAATACAGCACTGACTGCTGTGGGACACCTGCTGCCACCCCAGCTGCTGTGTGTCCACCTGCTGCAGGCCCCAGTGCTGCCAGTCTGTGAGCTGCCAGCCCACCTGCTGCAGGGTGTGAGTCATAGCAAGTAGCCAGGACCCACACTCATCTAACTTGGGGCGGTGAAGGAATGGAGGAATCTTGGACCCAGGGCTTGGATCGACGGGAACAACCAGAATTCTGACCCAGAATGAGGGAGTCACTAGGCTAACGTGAACTTTCCTTTTCTCTGCTCTCCCAAAGCGTTATGGGCAAGAAGGCTCATTACTACCTATGGGAGCACATGCATGTATGACACTGAGGCTGAAAAGTGATACGGTGCCAAGGGGCAGAACGTCACGTGTCACCTGTCATTAAGAAAGCTCAAGCAAGAAAAAAGGTTTAGGAAGTTTATGGAGAATGGCATTTGAATCCCAACACATCAGGAAAAGGAAACGATGCTTTGAATCCACCATGAAAATACACTCATCTAATTAGATGATTGCCTGTTTATTAGCACAAACAACAACAAGGAAGAGCACTGCTAATGGTGACAACAGCTGCTTAGCAGGGTATAAAAGGGGATTGGGGCAGGAGGCTTCCAAACCTCACAGACCCTCCACCTCGGAAACCACCCAGCACCTCCAACCTCTGACGCCATGGTCAACTCCTCTTGTGGCTCCGTCTGCTCCGAGCAGGGCTGTGGCCAGGAGAGCTGCTGCCAGCCCAGCTGCTGCCAGCCCAGCTGTTTCCAGACTACCTGCTGCAGAACCACTTGCTGCCGCCCCAGCTGCTGTGTGTCCAGCTGCTGCAGGCCCCAGTGCTGCCAGTCTGTGTGCTGCCAGCCCACCTGCTGCAGGACCACCTGCTGTAAACCTTCTTGCTGCATCTCCAACTGCTGCCAGCCCAGCTGCTGCAGGCCCCAGTGCTGCATCTCCAGCTGCTGCCCTCCTTCCTGCTGCCAGACCACCTGCTGCAGAACTACCTGCTGTAAACCTTCTTGCTGCATCTCCAGCTGCTGCCAGCCCAGCTGCTGCAGGCCCCAGTGCTGCATCTCCAGCTGCTGCCCTCCTTCCTGCTGCCAGACCACCTGCTGCAGAACTACCTGCTGTAAACCTTCTTGCTGCATCTCCAGCTGCTGCCAGCCCAGCTGCTGCAGGCCCCAGTGCTGCATCTCCAGCTGCTGCCCTCCTTCCTGCTGCCAGACCATCTGCTGCAGAAACACCAGCTGCCGCCCCACTTGCTCTAGTGGTTCTTGCTGCTGAGCGCTCTGCCCTGAATGCACCTGCTCTTGCTCAACAGCCATTCCTAAGAGCCTATGTAAACCTAAGACTTGTTTAAGATTGGCCTGGCCTCCAGATATACTCTCTCCTCCCCTGAGGTTACTCTGTCCTAAATGGACACACGCTTTTGTTTTCTGTAAAATCTGTTAACTGTCTTATCACTTTCATGGAAATGACTGTCCTCTCTCACATTTTCTCATGTGGCGATATTACTTCACTTGCAATAAATCCAAATTTTAAGGCATAGAAATATGTGTGTCCTTATTTTTCCTTCTTGAACTGCTTTCCTTCCATGGCAGCTTGGGGATGGGGCATCTCTAAAAGCCGAGAGAATCACAGAACACGCTTCCAGATGAACAGCACGTGTTCATCTAACACAGGAGGACGGTTCTTAGAGCAGCATCGAGTCTGCCTAAGGATTTTCCTTGGGTTAAAGACCAAGCTCTGGGCAGCAGAGCTCACATCCGAGTTACAAACTCAACTGGACGAAACCTGGATCAATTTCCCGGGGTCAACATCGAACCCAACGGTTGAATTTAATTTGGTTCTCATCCAATGCGCTTTGCAACCGGGATTGTGGAAAGCGTTGAGTTCGTGACCTGAGGAACCCGCTGGATTCTTCTTCTGCGTGTGCTGCTGGTACCAGCAGAAGTGGGTGGGAGAGATGACTGTGCTGTGTATTTCCTGTGGGTTTTCTCCTAGCGGCCTCGCCTCTCTCAGCGCTGGGTTGTGGGTCTGAGGCCTGTGTTAGGATGGGCGCCTGGAGGCGGCCCATGGATTTCCAAGCGGGCATCTTCCCACCGGCCACTTGTCTACTCTTGAGCTCTTTTAAACATTACCAACCCACACATCCACACTGGGTCCTCCGTGTTTGGTGAGGGGCAGGAGTTCCCTCTTCGGTACCTTCCGCCCAGGTCACCTTTCCTACCTCCCTGCCCGTCATACAGCATCCCCACATTGAAACGTACAGCAAATGAATCATTCTGGACCTTTCTTTTGTATTTCAACTTCTATTTTGAGAGTGCACGTTTGCAACGCATGAAGTTTACAGTCATCTAGGGGACCCGGTGCATGCACATAACACAGCTTGTTTCTGTTTCTTATTCCCTTTCTATCTCCTTCCATCTCAAAATCTCCTCTCCCCCCTTCCATTCTTATTGTTGTTATTATTATTTGCTCGTATTATGAATGCACGTGATGCTCGTGACTTCTCCCCCGCATCCCCTCACCCTCAGTCTGCTCTCCATTTGGGAGAGATCCAGCCCCTTCTTTGCTTTTATTCATCCTTCACTCTGCTCTTTGTTCCTTTGTCTCACTCAAACGAGAGACACCATGTGCTATTTAAACTCGTGTCTGATATATTTCATTCGACATTATATTGTTTTCAGGTACATCCAGATTGCTCCCCATGTCTCGAATTTGTCTTTCTTTACAGCCAAGCAGTTGTCCATTGTGCACGGACACCACGTTTTCTCTATCTGTCCATCTGCTGCCGGGCACACAGGCTGCTTCTGGGATCAGATATTACGAGCTGCGCTGCTATACGCAGTGCTCTGCATTCATTGGTGCGTATGGTGTCTTAAGCTCTTCTGGAAGAGGTCTAGAAGGGAGACAGCCAGGCCATATGAACTTTCTAATTTTAGTCCTTTGGCCAACAAACAGATTTAAAATGTTCAACATTCCTGGCCATGAGAGAAATGCAAGTTTACACCGGAAAGAGCAGCAATCATGCAGGAGTCAAGGAGTAACCAGTGCTGGCATGGCTGCCGTGACAGAGGAACGACGCTTCAGTGTTGCTGAGAATGTAAACTAGGACAGCCATGGTGGGAATCAGAGTGGAGGCTGCTGGACCTTTGTATTTCGTGAATTTTACAGTCGGGATAGAGGTTCTGCAAAAGAGTTTCCTAGTACAAATTCCAACTTTAGGGGGAAACAAGCACTACTGAATTTCTCCTGGTACTGGTAACCCTCTTACCCGGGATTTCTCGAGCACCTTAATAAACAGGGCATCACCTGGGACACCTAAGGGGCAGCGCCAGCCAGTGAGTGCTAGCTCCTGTGACAGGGTGTAATCCAACATATTCATTGCTGTAGAAATACCTGCCGCAGCCCTGTGGAGCCGACAGGAAAATGAACACATTTTCATTTGAATTAAGTTGTTTTCATTTCAAAGGAACATGTGTAAACTTTGTTATTATGAAAAAGATGCGCACAGTAGAAAGCATATAAAACATCCAGGTATAAAGTAGTAATTATGTCCAATAGTGAGTAATAGTGTCTAAGTACCCAATGTTCAGATCCTAGAAGAAACTGGGCCATAGTTACAAAGGAAGGGCTGTTGTATGTGTTTCTCTGGCCACATCTGCCTCTGTATACCTTAAGAACCTCTAGCCTGATTATTGTTATGGTTTTTTGTTTGAGTGCTAGGGATTGAACTCAGGAGCCCACACATGCTAGGCAAGTACTCTACCACTAAGCTACACCCCAAGCCCTATTTAATTTTTAATGTGATCACGTAATGCTTTTCATTATACTTTAACCACCTCAATATGCACTTCTAAGGCAGAAAGTTCATTACACCATGACTCCCAAAGCTATACAAGTACAATATTACTATGTCTTTTGCATTTTTATTCTTTTTCTCAGTGAGAGGTATTATCCACAATAGACGGCCGGTCTGTAAAGTGGCCTCTGGATTTTCCTCCTTCTCATGTTCATAGCGTGCTTAATCCCCTATGCTTTCACAGCTGTTGGAAACCAAGCCCATGACAGCGTTCAGTGGCCAAGTGGCACGTGACGGTGACTCTCGCCGGCCAGCTGTCTCACACGGACTCTGTCACTGTCTGTGAGGACCCCGCTGCTGAGGACGAGAGGTCCAGTTGGCAAAGCTGAGTTCGGCCTCCATTCAGCACCCAACAAGGCCCTATTCCCAATGGTGTCATGGACCCAATATTCCCAGCAACCCCACAACTGAGTTTGGAAGTGGATCCTTCCGTGACCCTTGCGTGAGACCCAGGGCCAGCAACACCTCGATGAAGCCAGGGGAACAACCGGGAAGCCCAGGGTGCAGCCAGCTGTGTTCATCGCTGACTCACGGAAGAGGTGAGATCCTAAACGCATGTTGTTTTAAACTGACAAACCCTGCAGCAATTACATAAAAATAGACAAGTCCACGGTTGTCACGGGATGAAAAACCTACAGAAGAGGAAGAAAGAATCAAAGTGTGCAGAGAGGTGAGTATGCTGGGTTGTACCTTGTCATGAGACCTAACACTCAGCCTGCCCGGGAGTCGCCGAGGTCCCAGGTGGTGCTCTGTCCACTAAGGTGAAAGAAAGGTCCAGGAAAGGGGACACCAGCATCCCTGATAATTTCAGTAGTGCTTTTTCCCTAAAGTAGTAGGGAATATTGTTACAAAACTTAGCTCCCCAAGGCTTATGGGGGAAGAGAGGGACTCAGAGGAAACCATTTCATGCTAGGGTTCCACGTGGGCACAGTTAAGAGATGGGCAGGAAGTTAGGAGTGGTGACGAGGTAGACTCATGTGAAACTCACAGGGATCTGTGGATAATGATGAGAGCATTAAACATTCTCACAGCAGGGTGGAGAAGCCACAGTTTTAGGCTCTATGGCTATATCAGCGTTTATGTATGCTCATAGATATATTTAAGAGTTCTAAAATCAATGCAGAAAGAACAGAGATAAGTGGCTGCCGTGGAAATCCATGATCCCGCCTCCAGATTCCAGTCCCCACACAGTTCTCAGGACTGTGACTAATCAACTGATACAAGAGGCAGGTTCTCCCGGAGGAATGACCACAGCCAGGGCACACAGCACTGACTTTTCCTGTTCATAGCTGAAGTTGCCTATCTTCAGCAGGGGAACAGCAACACATTTGGATGTGATTGGGCAGCAGATCAGAGCGGAGAATGAAAACCAAACTCAGCTTTGCCACCTGGATGTCTCGTCACAGCAGCGGGGTCCTCACGGACAGTGACAGAGTCGGTGTGAGACAGCTGGCCAGCGAGAGTCACCGTCACGTGCCACTTGTACACTGAACGCTGCCTGTGCTGGGGGTTAGAAGCAAGGTGCTAAAGCATAGGGAATTAAGCACATTATTAACACAGGGAAAAGGTAAGAGGAACCCACTTTGCAGACCGGCCATCTCAGCTAGCAACCAGTGCTGAGCAAAAGAATAAAAATAAAAAATACATAGTGAGATTCTATTTATAGAAAGCTCAAAAACCTGTGCAACTTAAACATTATTGTTTAGTAATGTGTTTCAAGGTAGTTGAAGTATAAAGAGAGACACCTATAAATAAGAAGACAACTTTTTACAAATCAGGTTACTTGAGCCCAAGATACCCATTCTGTGAGGCCCCGGCCACAGTCCAAAGGACAGGGGAAAGCTGCGTCCCAGGGAAGTCCAAGGTTAGGATGACGGACAAGCCAGGAGCCACTCAGATTCCAGGATCCGACGCGGGACGAGGATCTCCATAAAAAGGGGCTGCAGACAAGAACCCGTGATGCTTTCCAGTGCTCCCTCCCGGTCCAGACCCGTGCTCCACCACGTCTGTTGTCTCTCTCTTTCCTCCCTTTCCCACCTTCAAATAAATTGTCTCATTTTATTTTTTAAAAACCCAGGTTAGTGGCAGAGTTTGCCAAGGATGTGTGAGCCTCTGGGTCCAACCCCCAGCACCAAACCTCTCCCCTAAAACCCCCAAAGCCACAAACACAATGACAGCTCAGGACCTGAGCTTTGGCTACATAGACACTTGCTTAGTGATTATTCAATATATTTATTAATATATGTATATTTTACGCACATTTTATTATATACATGTTTTCCATAATAACAAATAGTTTAAAATATTCAGGTGAACTGAAATATTTCTCAAAGACCTCAGAATTATGTAAGTATGCATTACATGGGGGTATTTCAAGGCAAGTGAGAAATTCCAGCAAAGAGAGGTGGGAGCTTCTGTTACTTTCATGATTGTTTTGATTGCTTACCCCACATCATAGCAAGACATCAGATCATTCAGTATACATGCTCATATATTTAAATGTGCAACTTCCTTAACGACAGGACTAAACGGCACCGAACCATCTTTCTAGTTTCCCAATTAAATTCTCTGTGACCCAGAACGATGTGACTCTCTAGCTGCCACTTTACCATTTTAATTTTTTTTTTTTTTTTTTTTTTTTTGGTGCTGGGGATCGAACTCGGGACCTTGTGCTTGAGAGGCAGGCAGTGGCCACTGAGCAACACATGTCTGTAGCTCTGTCCATTTTTTCAGATTCCCTTTCTTTCAGAAGAAGAGCTGTGCTGCACTGATTGTTGATACCCCTCCCTTCAGAAAGCTCCTCGGCTGCCCTTCTCTGTGGCTCAGCCAGAAGTTGCCGGAGTCCTCTCTGGACAGCTCCTCGGAGGGCTCCTGCACCACCATCACCACTGTCCCCCTGCGAGCCTGTGGGCTCTGCTGTGGTAACAGTGTCATCCACCACGGGGTCAGCTGAGGGCTCGGGCTCCTCTACACACCCTTCAGTCTCTCTCCGGCATAATTTTAGGCCACACTTTCTTCCAGGCAGATCTCAGTGTCTTTACAGAGACACTGGCTCAGAATTCCTCAATTAACCCCACACAGGAAACACTGGTAGACAGGTTGTAACTCACGCATTTTAAAATTCCAGTCGTAACCCAAGTTGTTTGCATGAGAGGGTGGTCACGACTCGAGCGTACATGGTATACAGAAAGCTCTCTCCCAGTAATCCAGGAGCCTTTCTTCTGTGTGTGCTCAATCCTCTTGTCTCTCTTGTAAGCAAATCCACCAAGTACACAGCGTGGTTAATCTTCCCTGCTCTCCAGTTTACAAAGATACAAAAATAAAATAGGAACAAGAAAATCGGGCATCTGCCAAGCAAATTTGCAGGATAAAAATATGGTAAAGGCCTAGGTCTTTAAATAGCTTCGCAAAGACATTGAAGGATGGCATCACCTATGCCAACTGGCCTCGCCTTGTTTTCTGACCCTCAGGGAAACCACCGCCTGTTTAAACAGCAGACATCATGTAGCCAGTTGAATGAATGCTTTAAGCTTTTATTCCACCCTCACTACGGGGAAATGTAAGTTGATATCTTTGAGCTAGATATCTGTTTCCACCTTTTTTCGTTTCTCTCACCGATTTTCTTTGGTTTCTTTTTGTGTATTTTGGAAAAGGAAACTACTCTTTGTCACTTTTCTCATTGCTAGACAAAATGCCTGGCATTTCTCTTAAGGGAGAGCTCTGTTTGGTTCATGTTTTCCATCCGTGCTTGGCTGGCTCCATCGCAGAAGTGGCCTAGAAAGGGCCTAGGGGAGGGAGGCTCCTCGCCTCATGGTGGCCAGGAAGCGGAGAGAGAAGGCAGGCATTGGGCAGGGAGATGAACCCTTCCAGGTCATGCTCCCAGTGACCCGCCTCCAACCAGGGCCCAGCTCCCAGCAACACACTCAGCCCTTGAAGTCACCTTTGGAGGAACCCACAGAAGAGTACAGAACCCCCTAATAGCGCCAGCCTCCAAAGACCCACCTCTGCGAGTGTGAGAGTTTGGAGGGGGAACTTCCAGATCCAAGCAACAGGAGACCCTGGATCCAAACCACTGACCTGACTCATGATGGAGCGGGTGTTTACCGCCTGTTCAGAGCCTAGCAGCTCGACAGAGTCTGGCGGCAGGGTGTGAACCACGGTAAGAAGACAAGACTCTGTCCACCTGAGTGGACCGCTGAGTCTTGGATGGACAACCAGAATTGATAGGGTCAGTTGAAGGCTGGAGGCCAGAGGAACAGGGAGACCTTCCTCTATACCTCACGGTCTAGGCGATCTTGGCAGCGAACGAGGCCCCAGACTGAGTTCTGGAGGACTGTTTCGGGGGAAAGTGAACACGCAAATGCCCACCACTTAGGTTCACACCTTCAAACCCAGTATATTGCACAGAGTGACCTAGGGAATAAACCACGATTCACAGCGAGGAGGGGACATGTTCTGGTGGCCGCATCTCATCCAGGGGTCTGGGCTCGACCTGCAGGCGGGCTTGCCCGATCCACGATGGAGTCATCGGGGAAACGCAGCCTTAAAAAGAACTCTGGGCCTGCAGGAGACGCTGCTTCCCCAGGGCACGCAGGATATGCTAAGTAAAACGAGATGCGTTCACACTGCTGAGGGGAGAAGGTCACATGACAGCTGCCTGTGCAGAGGCTGGAGCAAGGGAGACACCTCCGAGCGGGATCGGGAAGAGCCTGGGGATGAATCCAACAAGCACCAGGAAGAGGAAGTTCTATTTCCGTCACCTTAAAAACTTGACAATGAAAATACACTTGCCTAATGTGATAATTGCCTAATTATTAACACAAACAACAACAAGGAAGAGTGCAGCTTGTGATGACAACAGCTGCTTAGCAGGGTATAAAAGGGGATGAGGGGCAGGAAGCTTCCAAACCTCACAGACCCTCCACCTCGGAAACCCATCCAGCACCTCCAACCTCCGACACCATGGTCAACTCCTGTTGTGGCTCCGTCTGCTCCGAGCAGGGCTGTGGCCAGGAGAGCTGCTGTCAGCCCAGCTGCTGCCAGCCCAGCTGCTGCCAGACCACGTGCTGCAGGACCACCTGCTGCCGCCCCAGCTGCTGTGTGTCCAGCTGCTGCAGGCCCCAGTGCTGCCAGTCTGTGTGCTGCCAGCCCACCTGCTGCAGGCCCAGCTGCTGTGTGTCCAGCTGCTGCAGGCCCCAGTGCTGCCAGCCCAGCTGCTGCAGGCCTACCTGCTGTGTATCCAGCTGCTGCCAACCCACCTGCTGCAAGCCCAGCTGCTGTGAGACCACCTGCTGCAGGACCACCTGCTGTAAACCTTGCTGCATCTCCAGCTGCTACCAGCCCAGCTGTTGCAAGCCCCAGTGCTGCCAGCCCAGCTGCTGCAGGCCCCAGTGCTGCCAGCCCACCTGCTGCAGACCCAGCTGCTGCATCTCCAGCTGCTGCAGGCCCAGCTGTTGCATTTCCAGCTGCTGTAGACCCCAGTGCTGCATCTCCAGCTGCTGCAGGCCCCAGTGCTGCATCTCCAGCTGCTGCCAGGCCCCCTGCTGCAGGACCATCTGCTGCCGTCCTACCTGCTCCAGTGCTTCTTGCTGCTGAGCGCTCTGCCCTGTTCCTCAGCCAACATTCCGGATGTAGGTCATGTGTGGGCTGGTCACAGGAGACCGGCTGATGTAGAGTTTGGCTTCCAGATATATTCTTTTCTCCCCTAAAACTGATACTTCTTTCCTTTGTGAAAGTTTGAATTTTCTCTGAAATCTGTCAGCTGTCATGTTTATTCCCACAGAAATATTGCTTTCTCTTCTGTTTCCTCACATGGAGATATTCCTTCATTTTAAATAAATCCAAACTGTGCAAGCATAAAAATAAAACGTTTTCGTGTGTCCTCAGTTTTCCTCCTGTCTTGGGATGGTTTCCCAAAGAAACTACTTGCTTTCAAGCCCCTGTATGTTGTTGCCCCTCACTCACTCAGACTTGTGGATGGGCACCTTCTGGGGACCCCATCCCGGTGGATGTCACCGCACCCACCGTGGGCAGTGTGTGCCTCCTCCTGTTTCTTGTCTTCCGCTCACCCCAGTGAGGTGCTCACAGTGGCGGGAGAGACTCACCAGAGGACCACGGCAGAGCAGCGCTTTTGCTCGTGTTGTTGACTGGCCTGGTGGGGTCCCCTGGGTTCAGAGCCTTTGGCTGCTATGTTCTTATTGAAGCAAAGCGGTTTGCACGTCCGCTTGCAGCTGAAACTGGAGCCGGAAACACCAGGAAGGCCTCAGGGTACCCCCTAAGTGACGCAGACCTTCCTTCCTGACTTCCTCACGGCGAGGGGCTTGCACGCCAGTGGAAACAGCTCTTTCTTTGGGATCTGTGACTCCCGGCACACAGGAGCCCAGAGTGAGAAGAGGGCAGTGACAGCACTCTCCCCTTCAGGCCTCCCTCTGTCCCCGGAGGTGGCGCCTCTCTCTGGGACCCAGAAACTCTGGATCCTGGTGTCTGGGGTTGTGCGGGAAGGGAGGATGGGATCGCCCACGACTCACAGGAAAGTAAGGTGAAAAGGGGGAGCCTGGCTTTGGAGGCCTTGCTTTTCTGGATTAGTGCGTGGACAGCAGGGGGCTCAGCCCCACCTCGTGCTCAGCGCTTTAAGGTGTATGTGACACCTCGAGGACGGGGCTCCCTCTTCACAGGGGTCCTCCCCACGCTGGCGCCGCAGTCACGGCTTCCAGAGGTGGTGGCATCACACCCTCTGCTCAACCCTGTCTGGGTGGTGTAGTGTGAAGGAGGAACCATCAGTCCCCAGGTCTGGGGATTCCAGTCCCTCGGCCTCGTTGCAGATGGGGTCTGCGGATCCCGGGAGCGGTGACGCAGGATTGCCGGGTGCTAGATCTGCTGTTTGAGCTCCCATACAACGGTGCTCAGAAAAGGCTTCCAAACCTCACAGACCCTCCACCTCGGAAACCCACCCAGCATCTCCAACCTCCAACACCATGGTCAACTCCTCATGTGGCTCCGTCTGCTCCGAGCAGGGCTGTGGCCAGGAGAGCTGCTGCCAGACCACGTGCTGCAGGACCACCTGCTGCCGCCCCAGCTGCTGTGAGACCACCTTCTGCAGGCCCACCTGCTGTAAACCTTCTTGCTGCATCTCCAGCTGCTGCAGGCCCCAGTGCTGCCAGCCCACCTGCTGTGTGTCCAGCTGCTGCCAGCCCACCTGCTGCCGTCCCAGCTGCTGTGAGACCACCTGCTGCAGGCCCACCTGCTGTAAACCTTCTTGCTGCATCTCCAGCTGCTGCCAGACCAGCTGTTGCAGGCCCAGCTGTTGCATTTCCCACTGTTGCTGCCCCAGCTGCTCTAGTGGTTCTTGCTGCTGAGCGCCTGCCCTGCCCGCTCCTGTTCGTCACCGTCAGTCAGCTCTGATGCAGTCCACAGGCAGCTGAAGCATGTAGGACCAGCAAGAAGCCTCAGTTCCCCCTGGGATTACTTTTGGGCTCCACGTAAACTGCCCCTTTTCCTCCAAGCTACTCTCTCAAATGACTTTGAAATTTCTCTGAAACTAGTGTGTCTTTCTTGTGAAAACATTCTCTCCGGCATATCTTTTAGTCCCCCATCTCGATAAACCCTGATTTTTGCAGTCACACAAAGATGAAGCTGTTGCGCCTCTTTATCTTCCCGTCTCCGATTGTCCTCCTGCCAGTTTATCTGTCGCTCCTTTCTAAGGAGCAGCAGAAGGTTCAGGGGGGCCCGCTGTGTCCTGTAGTGCTCTCCTCCAATACAGTGAGACAGTGGGGTCTTCAGCAGCGCCTGCGAGGACTCAGCTCCGGGCAGGACAGTGAAGGCCCTGCGGTCAGAGCTCACCCAGTGCCGTGGGGTTGGTGAGCGAATACCTCCGCTCACTTCCCTTCCGGGGAGAGGGCCTCACGCCAGCCTCCTGGAGGTCCTCACTGGGACTGGACCCCAGCTGCCCGCAGGCCCTCTGCTCTGCTCATTGCGTCGCCTACACTGGCTTCCCTCCCCGTCCTGGACATTTCCCAAGTTCATTTCTGCAGCACTCCGGGGACCATTTTCCGAAGGAACCGCTGCGTCTCACCGCCGTACGTGTGTTGGTCCTGGGCACAGAAGTCTATCTCACCCCTGATCCTGTTTCCGGGGTCGCGGCCCTCCAGCACAGTTCCATTCAGGACCACCGGTTGCCAAGGTGTCAAGATTGCTTCTTGGGTTTTTGTCTGCTAACCTGGAAAATCTTGTGAGCACTTTGCTGCCGCTGCCGCCGCTGCTGCTTTTGCTCTCTTCCTATCTAGGCTTCTCCTCTCTCCTCATCCTTCTTTTCCATCACATCAGCACATCTGCAGGCCAGGAGCAATGGCGATTTTAGCAGCTTCCATCCTGACAGCGACTGTTGGGACTGTCATTCTATGCGGGTGTGCTTGGTCGAATTCACTGAATATAGAAACTAAAACTGGGATTCAGCCCAAAAGTCTGGTGAGTTAATACTCACAGGAGAAATCTGGAAGAAACGGCAGGGAGCAAATCGGAATGGCAGAAGCACCAGGGCCAAAACTTGAGGTCCATGGCTCTGCCTCATCTGACCCTCGGGGTCGCCACCGGTGTGGCGGCTGAAATCTGCAGCTTCTGGGGGGCTGGGGAGCTGCGTGCCTTGCTCTCCTCCTCCGTCATCAGCAGCTGCAGGCCACTCAGGACAGGAACACAGTGTGTGGCCAGGGCCCACAGCAACGGATAGAGTTGCTCCAGTGCTGCTACCCGGAGCCGAGGACCGGACTGGAGGGCGGGGTAGGGGTCAGTGCCCACTCTGCACTCACACAAGCTTCTGAACCAACACCTTGAGGTGGGATCCTTGACTTGGGGGTTCCAGTGATCAAGAGTGAGATAACTGTCAGTGTTTGAGTCTGCGACACTCAGAACTCTACGTTTCAAATTCCGCCTCGCTTTCTATTATTTAGGTACCAATAGTTAGACTTCAATTATTTCAGCTACTGTTGTTCTAATTGAATTAGAGACGAAAGCACACAGTACAGCTAGTTTAATGGGGTGGGTTTCAACCCTGGCTGCCCATTAGGGTTATGCAAAGAGCTTAAAAAATTCCCTGGATACCAGGCAAGACCACAGACCAAAGAAATCAAGATTTCTGCAAGCAGAAATCAGGGACAGACAATTTCCTTCACTCCCTGGGTGATGTTTGCAGGCAGCCACTTTGAGAACCGCTGGCTTGAGGCTGTGATTTCTTCCTAGCTCCTCATCTATAGCAAATCCAGGGAAACCCTTCCCCCCTTGGGGTATTATCTGGCCCTGTAGTCTAACTATTGAAATCTTTCATATTTTCCAGCTTTGCAAGCTGCGGCACATAAAATAGAAGCATGTACAGCAAGCATGTGCTAGGCTGTTTGGTATGAATCAATTCCTGCCAGAGTCACGATCTTACTTAAATTAAGGATGATATGCTAGGGTCAGCTTGTTTCTTGGGACTTTCTTAATTGTTACAACACAAGTCTTGGGTTCTGGAATGCCCACAACGCTGAGCAGGCAGGGGCAGCTGGTCACCCTGCCCTGAAGTTGGTGGGAAAATCGAATGTTCACATTGGGGCTCCTTAGTGCAACTCTAAAGGAACTTGGGATGTATGCATCACCTCAGTGATTCTCAGACAAATGCCAGACTAAAGACGCCAGACAGAAAAGAAACTGCACTGTGCAGCAGGTGTGTGCATTCTAGACTACAACTACTTCAGTGGTATAAATTATCAGAACAGTCCCTGCCTGTTGTTGGAGGGGTTTGCCGGGACAGTTGCTAACTTTCTGATATAACAAAATGTTTTGCCTCTTGTCAGGCACGGAAGTTTGCTAGATGTATCCATTTAGTAAAACTAGCTGGACAGGACACTTAGGAGGCATCCATTTCAACGTATGTAAAACCTGACGAGAAATGTTAATATCAGAATATATCTACCATGCTAACTGGTTTACTGCGGCCACAGTGGTTTTGACTGAAACAACACAACCAGGAGCTGCTTTGATGTGGCTTCCCAGCCAACCAGAGCTCCCCAGGAGGAGACTCAGAATGACACTTCTAACCCCAGCACTGGCGGCAGGTGTCTCTCAGATGACTTATTTAATCTGTCTGCTTTCTAAATGAGGCTGGGACTTGATATCAGAAGAACAAGCACCCAGGAAGTCTCCCAGTGTGGCCCTCAGAACTAGAGTGTCAGCGTCTCCGAGTCCTCATTAGAAACCCAGGGCCTGAGGCTCTCCAGATGCTCAGGAATTCTGGGGGTGCCCAGCTGCCCATGGATTCACAAGCCCTCAGATGACCTGGACGGATGCTAGGGACACAGGAGATGCACGCTAGAGACACAGCTTTCAAGCCGCAAGACACGTACATTGTACCAGAAGGGCTCCAGATGTCCCCTCGGGAGCACACAGGCCTCCAGGGTCTGACAAAGTGCACCCCAAGTAGAGGAGAGGCAGGCAGCAATTTGATGAGGTGGAGTTTACCAGAACCCACTGACACTTCAGAAAGACCCTAAATACTGTCAGAGATTACCCGGCTCTGCAGGCAAGTGCTGAAGAGACGCAGGTTTTGATTATTCAAAAAAATTTTTGGCTCTACCGTGAAATGCTTTTAATTAATGAGATAAGAAATAGAAATGATGCCGCATGACCCGGAATCTAAGAGAGCAGAGGGAGAGACGGGACATAAACACAGGAGGCACAAAGTAGCAGGTTAAGAAACAGTGCACCATTGACCTCACATCTACACGGATGAGCTGCCAGACAGAAGTTTAAGGACAGAGCCCAGGACCCAGCACCATCCAGGGAAAAGCAACACCACTCCAGGGATGCAGTGGTCGCTCCCAGGACCTGCATGGAGAGCTTCCTCGTTGCTCTGAGATGAACCACACACAGGAGCTTGGTCCTCCCGTCCCAGCAGACCCACACTAAGCAGGAGCTCCCCCGCATGGGTCAGGGGAAGATTTCTGGGAATGTGAGTGGCCACCTGCCCTGGTGGCAGGGATC